ATTCGAACACGGAACAGTCTCATTTTAGGCTTGTGATAAGAGACTCATCCTTTCCTCGGACTTGCCGGAACGCAATGTATGAGAAATCGGAATCCCCTAAAGCATTCCGGTAAAGTTAAAATGAAGAAGAATGCGAGGAAAAAGAAAACGGCAATCGCTATGCTTTTACATGTTTATTTCCGTGTTCATGTTCCTGCATTCTTCTGCATTTCAGCTTTACCGGAATGTTTTATTGCGGCAGGCTACTTGAGCTGATGTCGCCCATCCCATCCCGAGGCGTCGCGCTGCGGTGCACTCTCTCGCTCCCGGCTCAGAGATTTACAGTTACATCGTCACGGCGAATCGATTCGGCCATTTCGTTTCGATAACACCCCGTCGGTACCGTAATCACAAGGTGCAGGCACATTGTCCGCCCCGCCACGAGGCCCCGCCCGGTTACTGCACTGCCTAGGATGCTATTTATCCGGCGCACAGAGCTGACGCGGCCGGTGCTACACATGTTCGAACACGGTGCTTCCCGAGCCGTTCGCCGGTATTTTGCCGAGAATAAATCACATTCAAATGAAGTGGCCGTGCTCGCGCTGGCTGCGGCGGGGTGTGGGAGGCGCGCCGACTGACTCATTGCGCATTCCGGTCGCAAATGCACTTTTGGTGTCCTGCCAGGCTGTCCTGCCTGCGCGCGGGCTGCGCGCGGCGGGTCGAGCTTACGCGGCCCGAGCTGTAGCAGGTGTCCTGCCTGCCTGCCCGCCCGCCCGCCCGCCCGTCTGCCAGGACCCCACGGGGGCTCGTATACCTGCCGGCTCCAGCTCCTCCCGGCCGGACGTCGGGGTGGATGCCGAGGACGGCGATCACCAGCGGCAGGGATTCGAACCGACGGCAGCGGCATACTAATATTTCCGTACATTTCGAAATAAACTTCTCATGCCATCACGCTGCGGGTCCTGCGGGTGCGTGAGCTCCTGTCAACCGGGTGCTGAGCGCGGTTTGAGCGCGGTCCCGACCTCGGCGCTCACCTCGCACCTCCGGGTGCTTCCCTTATGCCCCTGCGCCCCCGCGGGCCGACGGCGGGACTCGGCCGACACGGCTGCACGCGCCCCGCAGCGCAGAGCGTCCAAACACAAAGAGGAGAGGTTATGTTGCCCTTACCTTTCATCCGCGACTGAGTCAGACTCCGGCAAGCTTCATGGCCCGAGTACACTGTATCCACTGCTGCGAGTCTCAGCGCCCTCGCACAAACTTCACACAAAATCACGATCCCACGCCAGACACACACACGCGCGCGCCGGCGGGTCACAGCACACACAAGACTATTTGTATTTCTCTATCTCCTTCTGCAGTGATCACACACTGTTGCACACTTCACACTCGCGATGTATCCATGTTAGATCGCGCACTTCCAAGAGTAATCCATGCTGGGAGGGGCGGACCGTAGAAATAATCCGAGATCGGGCCGCACAAGAGACACACACACACACACACACTGCTGAGTTGTTGCTGCACTCCGTTCCGTACGGAGAAGCGACGCGCAGACGCGGGGCAGGGCGGCGGCGAACGGACGCGCGAGCGACACGAACCGTGCTCGGCGGCAGTCAACTCGGCACTGGCGTGGCGTCTGGCGGGCCGCGCTGGCTGCCAGCTCGCCGGGGCGGCCCTCCCTCCCCGCAGCCGCCCATGTATATTGTTTCCCCCGCCGCCCCGCCCGGCCGCCAGCCCCGCCGGGCCCGACCCGGCCTCGCCTCACTCACACTCTTCTTCCTCTTTGTGTTTGTGTTCTCCGCAGAGGGTACAGCTCGCTCGCCCTACCCTCCCCCTGGCCCGCGCTCGCGCTGTTGCCGCCACCTTTGGGGTGGAGAGCGCAGGTTACTCCAAGCGAGCTGCGGATGTCTATCGCCGGAGGATCGCCACTCCGATTTTAAGAGCTACAGAAATACAACAGGTGTGGATGATGGATGAATGGAGCCCAACTACGTAGGAAGGCTAAAACAATGCTTTTTGGCAAATTCCTGGTGGGTTGTATGACAAATACCGCGCCCCCTCCATGGCCTTTGGGGTCAAGGCGCAAACTAGATGCACTTGACATTTCATTTAACTTAAATGACACTAAATTCGATATTGACTACATACACAGCAGTCAAACTAAATCCCACTAGCTCTCCCCTCTACAACAACGGCGACACCGTTTATTGATCTTGTCGGTCATGTCATGCGAGGTGGTGGTGGTGTTGAGTTATTCACACACGCTAGCCGATAAAGTTTTCATTAAACGCTTAGAAATTATCTGGTGACGGACAGAACCAACAGAACCAAGCGCCATATCGGCTCTTCTTCAACGGAACATGTCCACGTCTCGGTCTAACATACACATGTGTAACAACCGCTACAATTATACAAGAAATGTGGCTTTATCTCTTTTATTTGGTACCTTTTCCGATGGGAAAGGGAGTTGACAGAACCATACACGATTTGAAAAGTACATACAGTATTGTGTTGCCACGATTGCATGAAAAGATTACACCATACATTACGTATGCCAGCATTCTCTGTGACAGGGACGTTCGAGGAACTAGTTTTACCGAGTTTTACCGATCCGAACAGAGGCAAACGGGGGCAATGCCCATAAGGACAGCTAAAACCGGTGCCAAACCGGGTCACACCCAGCAAAATGTTTTTGAATCAATGTAATAAATGTTCTTAAATTTTTTTCTAAAACAAATTTGACTTATTTCAAGAGCACAAATTAATGGGGGGGGGGGAACATTATTTGTAAATAACTTGCAAAGGCACGAGGCCACCGCGGACCACCCCGAGGTCACGAGGACACCGTGGCGCAGTCGAAATTTTAAGAACTTTAATTGTTTCTAAAACACACTGCAGTGGAAACTTTAAGAACATTACTTGTTTCTAGAACATACTGCAATTGAAATTTCAAGAACTACTGTTCTTGCCCATTCACGAGAACGCCTCTTAAATTTCGTTCTCGTCTGAGTCAGAATATCAATTCGATCTTATTCTCATGATGGAACACACAAATGCAAGCCGAATGCAAGTTCTGGCTGGTCCACTGTAAAAAATATTGTCGTAAATTTACGATATAGTATCTTGAAATTAATATTTACAAAATTTGTTGTAAATTTGTAGCACCTCAAACTTGCTTGGCGGATGAATTCCGAGTCGATAAATAGAGCTTGTAATTTTACGATCTCGATCTCGAATTGTAATTTTACGACACGCTTCAAGGAAAATTTTCCCATATGAACCTACAACTATTTTTCACAGTGGTCAATAAATCTGCATGAGATCAAGAACACATTTTTCTAGGTGCAGAGGTGTCAACAAAAGTTAAAGTTAAAAGCACCATTGATTTCTGACCGTATCACCGGAAAACGTTCCGTTTGCGTCCCGTTGTTACCCCGCCCAGCCAGAAATGGAAATCGGTCGACGTCGAATTGAATCAAGTGTCAAGGTCGAATCGACTTCGAATCGACGTCCAAAAAATTTTCATTTCTGGCTGAGCCGGTAGCACCGCACTGTGAAAAATGTCCTCGTAAATTTACGACATTGTTGTAATTTTGATTCACAAAATTCGTCGTAAATTTACGACAGCCCATTCCTAGTCGTCGGTCAATTCGAAGTCGATATGGAGTGCTTGTAAATTTACAATTTCAAATTATAATTTTACGACTTTTATCATGGAAAATTTTCCCGTAACCCTAACGAGTATTTTTCACAGTGCGCATTTAGTAATGCGCATTAAGATGCGCAGAAAAGGTAACACATTCGTTCCTCTTTTATGGGCATTATTACGCGCATTTCCGCAGCTAATGCGCATTTAATCAGACGTAAGTAGTGCATTATCGTAACCGGGGTAGTGCAGTACTAAAAACTGTCCTACAGTTTTTGGTGCAGTGCCAGAGTGTGCTGCACTTTTTCAGGTGTCGTAAAGGTCCTAAACTATCAACTGTACGGCCAGTCGAAATATTGGTCAAATAATTTCGGAATTCAATCGAATTGACAGTTTTCAAAGTTTAATGGACTTGTCTGCGTCTTAGTAAAGTGATCGAAAACGTTGCTAATGCCTGGCATCTGCCAGCGTCTATTTTACGAGGACTACGATAATGTGGCGAATTGATGTCGAAGTGGTGTTGAAACACGTACCACACTGGTAAAACAAGTGTGCAATATTTGCACACCAGACGTGTGCAAGTTTTGATTTAGCACATTACATGGTGTTTAACTCAAGTTGCACACTTGCGTGGTGTGCAAATTTTAGACGTTTTGTAAACGTTTAAATTCTGCACACTTGGATACACACAGTTCTATGCTGTCAATAGGGAACCATACGGTGTGCAGCTGCTATACGTTTCGGAAGTGTCGAAAGTTTAAACACCAATTGACGTATAACATAGTTAGACACCACCAAGTGTCGAGAAAATGCACACTTGAACTTAAACGTCAATTGACGTGCAAAATTAAACACTTGTTTTACCAGTGCAGTCGTCATCGATTCCAGGGTGAAATCAATCTTATTTAATTTTCGTTTGAATAAAAATTTTAACATATTTTCTTGAGCATTGCGCATATGAAAGTGTATGGTGACACGGCGCCGCGATCCCGCTGAGCTCGCAAACCCGCGCTCTTTCATTTCCTGTAACACCTTTAGCGGCAATGCCAGCACGCACATGCATTGACCTGCTCTTTGCTCTTACTGATGAACCGTCACGTCTGATTGGCCATATACACGAGAGGAATTTTCTCAAAACTAAGGGAAAAGCGGGAGGCCATGGGCTTTTCACTGCGAGGGCTTTGTTCGGACGTCACCCATGCTTAAAAAAACGAATCTGTAATTTCGCACAGTTTGATTGCACATTTTGATTAAAACATATCGCCGTGGAATCCGCAAACCGCACTGGTCTGCGCACTGGATGACTGGTCTCTCGATAGGTTGGGTTTGCAAGGGTAACTTGCTAAAGTGGGCCAAACTTTCATCCGTTTGGCTCTACTCCTTATCGTTTACGCCCTACACCAAATTTTGATTTCTCAGCACTGGTAAAAAAAAAAAAAAACATTACACAGTAAAAACACTGTCTCAATTTTGGAGGAAAGAGGAAAAACTGAGAAGCTCCCTTATTTTGAGAAAGGCTCCTCAGATCCCGGATAAAACTGGTTTGTATACATACAAATTTTATAAAAAATTATAAAATGTTATAAAAAGGTATACACCGTTGTAAAAATGTCAAAAATGTTAATGAAATTTCATAAATGCTTGTTACATTTAGTAAAACTGTATACAGAGGTCTGTATACGTTTTCATAAAATCTAGTGCAATGTTGTTTTAGATTTTATAAAAGTGTCTGTCTCAGTCCTACATTTTTTGAGGAAGTAATCAAAATCTGATGGCGAGATATGAGGAGATTTCCTCAAATATGGAGGTCCTCAAATCGACGGAGAAAATCGTTCATCTAGGTTTTTCCATTTGATACGTGAGGCAACCTTTTAGCATGTTGCATCTACCCTAAAGCGTTTTGCGATATCTAACCTACTCTTGATTTATACAGTGTAGAGTCTATCAAAGACCCAGGGAACACGGTGTTGTCAAAATGGCATCAAGTGATGTTGATGCTAGTGCCAAAATTCGGTCATTCCTGCTTGCTTCGACGCCAATTCAAGATAAAGTGATTAGTGATTTGGCCACAATAACGACAAAATCTTAGCAATGCATGACTTATTCGTGTCATTTTGACGAAACCGTGTTCTTGGGCCACCTTCGTCAAAAATGACCGCCTACTAGCGAGGATTAGCTAGCCGCCTACGACGACTCGCACAAACACAATTACCAGCGCGCTCTCACGGCAGAATCACGCAGCTACACAACCGCCAGAATTCGAATTTGCTGTCCGCCACATGCGGCGCGAAACCGGTCGGCGGCCGGTCTGTCTCTCTCGCTGCTCTCACGTGAGCGGAGACAGCAATACCTTGGCGAGCCCCGCGTCGCGCGCCCGCGGCCCAACGGCAGCCCCGACCTGCGGAACCAATGACCCGAAATAATCAAATCCACCTCTAACGACGGCGTCGCGTCCAGCCGCTCGGAAGGCTCCGCCCGGCGCCGCCCTGTGGCGCGCTGCGGCCGTGGCGGGAGGCTCAAATTTAGACATCAAGTCGAGCGCGCCGCGCCACACGGGCTGCGCCATGGGCTGTAATTACACCGCACAATTTGTCCTTTCGCGGCGAGGTGAAAGACATCCGCCGAATCACGCTCATTGTATCTGACAGCGGCATCAAATTCGTGCACATTGTGTTTCTCAACGAGTTCATCAGGACGGGGCGGCTGGCGTGGCGCGTTCAGGGCGGCCATTCAGCACCCCCCCCCCTC